TATATCATATATTATTATTTATAAATTGTTGTAGACCTTGAAAATATAAAAAATACAGGTACTAAATTCATTAAATAAAATTCAAATTTTATTATCGGACTCATTAAAAAGTATTCATGCTAAATAATAAAAATCTGTAAGTAAAGTCTTTTGTTAGTACATTTTAGTACGAACTGTTAGTAGCGCATTCCTCCAGTAAAAATAGTAATTTTAGTCACTGGTGAACGGTTTTTAAAAACGAAAACAAACAAAAAACCATGTCGAAATATACTCTGTGTTAATACTTAAAAATAGCGATGCACTCCCTTGTTAAAAGTATCAATTTGTTATTGGTCCTTATGTTTAATTATTTTACTTATTTTGTATATTATATAATGGTGTAATATTTACTTTAAATACCTTTCTATAAAATGGACGAATCTCCTGTGAACATCACTGTAAATTTTGAATCACCTAAATACTCCTGTAAAAAACAAATAGGTATTTTAGACGACAATAGATGTCGTAGCGATTCTACTACCATGCCTCTAGTGCTTGTACGATAAAAAACTACCAGCTTGTATTCTACGCGTTTTATATAAGTATATATACAAAGCTTCTATCTATAATATATATAATGCATTATGTACAATGGTATCTATGCTATTACGGTTCATCTATTTACTTGACTACCTACTTCGTAAACTAGCCGGTTAGTGTAAGTACAAACTGTCCAAATGGTTGGTTATTTTGATGGAAAATCATCTTTCTACTAAAACAGGTTTGTACGTATATTGACTAGTTTACAAACTATATAAGATTTTTTGTTAAAGTAGAAATTAACCAGTGTTTCTAGCTAGTGTGAAAAATACCCACAGTATTATTATATTACTCGTTTAAACACACTAACATTGGTCAGAAGAGTCTGGCTGGCTTACAAAATAACCAACGAGTTAGTTATTAGGTGTTACTGGCAATTTCGAGTACCTATTGTGGATATTTTGCAAAATAATGAAGAACACTGGTTAATCTGTGTGCTTTTCTCGTGATGTCGACTTAAGCGACAAATCTTGGATAGTTTGTAAACTAGCTGGATAGGATACAAACTAGCTAATATGCTTATTTGACCGAAAGATGATTTTTCATCAAAATAATCAGAGATTTGGACAGTTTGTATACTATCGGACTAGTTTCATAGAAGATTATGTAACTATTTACAATGGGGTTGAAATAAATTCAGGAACAATTCTTTTATTAAGAGTATTCAGCATTCAGAGTTAAAATATGTTGAAAGGGCAAAAAATTGGTCGAAAAACTCGTAGGGGTTTAAAAAATATATGAAATTGCATACGTAGTAGTGGCGGTAATGACTAATAAATCCTTAAATTATTTTGTTAGTCATTTATTGTATTTTTTATGTTTTGATTTATTTATATATTTTTAGCGGTCTTTTTTTATCTTTCGCAGTTTATGTAAACTATTTGTTTGGTACTAATTTCACTTATGTTACCAAGTTATCTTTAACTATTTAAAAGATTTGGAATGATATTCATACTTTTCTTCATCAATCCGTGTTTATGTTGATTGAATTTTTTTTAATGGTCTTTGGAATTAAAAAATTAAAATATTTCATGTAATAAATTTTGATATAAATAAGTTGTAAGAGGTTTTCGTAATTTCTAAATAAAATGTATTTTAAGTAGAGGAATTGACATATTTTCACCCACTTCAATGTCTATAAATTACATAACGTAGATACCCCACCGAATGTAAATAATGGGAAGAAGTTTTACCCCTGGACTTGCCAAAAAATCATTTTTCTAAACATTTGGTTTGTTTAAAACTGTTTTGTTTATAGTAAATTTAATGTTATCATGAGGCCAAACGTTGGTGTTCTCAAGTTAAATAAGTTTTCAGTATTCATGTGTGTTATTAGTTTTTTTTTTTAAACAGTGTAAGTGGTATTCCAGGAATGGGCTGTGAGAAATCTCTACATTGTCAAATTCTCACACTGTTAAAACAAAACATTCAAACAGGTGATCGGATGTTGTTGTCCAATGGCATGCCATAGAAGTTGCTAGTGTTTTAGTTTGAAATTCATGGAATTGCTATTGCGCACTCTCTTCTAGAAAGTTACGTGAGGGTTGCAGGCTTGTTATAAATATCAGCACTAATAATACGAAGGTATTATGATGAAGTAATGTTTGCTGAAACTTTTTATCAAAATGGGAAATACGAACAAATAAACGTATACTG